CTGCAGAGAAATTTCATGGACAAGTACTACCAGGAGTTTGAAGATACAGAAGAGAATAAACTCACTTACATGCCAATTTTTAACAAATACCTTTCTTTGGTAGAAAAGTATATTAAAGAACAGCTGCTGTAGCAGATGCCAGGATTCGACATGACAATTTTCACAACAACGTTAAAGCACCATAAAGATGAAGAGGCTGACGACATATTTGACATGCTGCTCGCATTTAGAGACTTTCTGGCGTTTAAAGAATAAAGAAGCTGTCACCACTGGCAGAAAACCACTAGATGTTTCTAGACTACAGAGCAGAAAAAGAAGGCCGAGGACTGGACGTAAGCAATGATTTAGTGGCGACTTCATTGTCCAAGTCACCTTCTGTGCCCGCTTCCCAGAACAGTTTACGACACTAACCTCCAGGCTATGGAAGCCTCTGGGCATAATGAACTAATTAGGCTGGGAGAGGTGCCCGCTTGTGATGACAGGACAATATCTCTTGGAAAGAATGCAACTTTTTATTAATGTTAGTTATTGATGAGTTGAAAAGATAATTCCCTGACTCTCCCGGGACTTTTGCTTTTCCTGAATCACCTTCTTGTATTCACTAACCCCTTTTACTCCTGCCAAAGGAGACACCTCTCTCAGGTGCTTCTGAGGATAAGACTGCCCTGGGGCAAGACTGTGTCTAGCATCCAGCCCAGAAGGCCCTTCCCCTAGCATACAGGCTTACTGTGTCAACAAAGTGGAATAACTGCCATCACAAACTCTCCTTGTCTCAAATACCACAAACAGGTCCTGTTTTGAGGCCCTTCTTTTTTTAAGAGTTTCAGTGCTTCAAAACAAGTGGCCCACCTGTGTGGAGTTTCAGACTATTTGGGGAGTGCTTGTCTAGGGTGCTAAAACAGCTGCCCCTGTCCTCAGATTTCTGAAACTCCTATTTTCTGTCCGCCATTATGGGAAAATTTGAACTAGTCTTGGCTGTGGCAACGAACTAAAAAAGATGTCCTCTCCTCGAAAACTGCATGTGAAAATCGACTCCTGGTCTTGAGTGTGCAGTTCCTTCACCTTTGTCTCCTAGCCCTAATGTGGTCCCACTGTTTCAAGAGAATCTTCTTTTTTCTTTAGAACCATTTTTGGGGAAAAAAAAAAAATGTGTATCGACGACTACTCAGGCTCATCTAGTAGATTTAATTATGGGATTTCTATGATCGCCCCCTTAAAGATCTAAGTATTAAATGCTTGTACTTTCTAGTTGTTAGTGCTATGAAAGCAAAAACACTTTCTCCATTGAAGTTACTACATTGATGGATGCCAATGAATATATGCTATCTGCTGGAAATAGACTAAAAGGTATCCTTTTCTTATAGCATATTAAGGTGTTTATGTGGGTTTAAAATCCTTTTTTTTTTATAAATCAGATAGGTTTTGGTTGGAGCATGGGTGTGTTTGGTAAAAATGTAATTCTACAAGCTCTGCACTTCCAACTCTCTATTCTTCTTGTCCAAAGGGCGTTCTGCCGGTCTAAGTCTGCCTCAGTAAGGCAGGGTGGTAAGGTCTCTAATGGTTCTCTGGCTTTGGCTGAGTACAGTGTTCATAGAGCATTACTGACTAGAAAGCATGTATGTCACACCACTAGAAAAAAGGGAGAAAAATAGTAGTTTCATTCCCAATGTGTACCTTTGATTTTTTTTAAGTAAAAATAGGAATCTGCACTGATAAAGAAAATGATAGTTTCCATCTATATTTGTGGTTACAGAAAGATGTTATTTGGTAAATTTCTTTCCAGCTAGACCGTAAATTCTATGAGGGCAGAGACTGTATGTCTTCTTCACTCTACTCTTGAGCTGGGCAGTGGCCTTGAATATGGTAAGCACCGGATCTAGTTGTTGAATGAATAAATGGATAAACCCCACAGTAGATTTAATAAAAAATCAGGTTATAAACCAGTATGTATTGTAAGATCCTACTCTATAAAATATATTTACATTTACCTATCTACATATATGTACATATGTGTGCGCAAACGCATACACATCAGAAAATGTCACGGGGTGGTGAAGTTATAAATGATCTTTTTTTTAACTTTGCTACATTGTATGCTATAAGTAGGTATTGCTTTTATAACAAAGGGGAAGATCTTTAAAAGGAGAAGGAAGAGAGTGAAGGATAAAGAATAAAAGATAAAGGATGGAGAATAAAGAAGCTGTCACCACTGGCAGATGAACTGTTTAATCCTAAAGACATAGCTGATAGGATTTTAAGTGTCAATTGGGAAGGCTCCTGTCGCCCCTTTGACCATTCTAATAGGTAAAATACCTACTCTACATACTGCAACTGCCTTCAAACGCAAAGAGCTGCCCCAGTTGTATCTTCAAATAGGAGATGCATTTGAGGAACTCCTCGAGGCTCAGAAAGCTCAAGATTTCCAACCTCCCGTTATCTAGAAATATTCCTCCCCAGCTTCTAGCCTGGCCTCAGACATGATGCCCACACCCTGGAAGCTTCCCTGCTCTACTCACTGGCACATGGGTTAGTCCCAGCCTGTGTCCAGAACATAGAACGTGGTTGTTAGTCTAGAATTCTCCTGGGATTTGGTCTGGATATCTCCCCCATAGCCTGGCCCTTCCTCCATGTTGCCCAGACTCCCCTTCCCAGACCTGTTCTAGGCTTCTTCTCTAATATGCTTTGATTGACCCCCTCTCCCAACTCCAATATCCTTCCGTCTTTCATTGCCTCCCTCAGCAGCCCACTCAACCATTTCTCCTAGCAAGAATTCACAAGGGTGTCCTAGGCTCTCACTGTCGACTTTCAGCTCCATCTTACCTTGGAGTGTGATCATCCCATCTTCCTTTCAAGCTGAGGAAAAGGGGTAAGATGTCCTGCTCTCCTTATTCATTTCTATTCTTCCTTTCAGTTCACCACTAAACTTTTGCTGAGTGCCCCCACACCCTCTGCTGAGCCCTGAGACGGCACTCCAAACCAAGCTTTCCACACATGGAACAGATGGATAAAGAAACGAAGCAGCCATCCCCAAACCCTGACGCTTCAGTCTGATGAGAAGCTGGGTTAACCCAGGACAGTCAGCCTCTTCCCAGTAAGTCAGGCAACACATGGAGCAGAGCACCTGAGGATTGGTGGTGTTTCTTATGTCTCTAAAAGCCTGATAATAACAGCAATCCAGAACAGCCTGCCCTGCTCCCAAAGTTCCCAGAGCTGTGCCAAGCATAAATGGGGAAAGGGGCCACCTTCTGCCTATAGGCCTTGAAAAGATGAGCTAGGATGTAGTGAACACTCAAGGGAAGGAACTTTAAAACGTTTCCTTCTCCAAGTCCCAAGCCCAGGGCTGCTCTATTTTGGAAATCAGATTGGGTGAGCTTAGGCAGTTAAATCGAACTCAGGAATACGAGGCCAGGTCCTGGCGCTTTCTTTGGATAATTAGACAAAGGTCATTAGTCCAGCTCTGATCTGACTTCTAGAGAGTGATGATGATCTACCATGACTTATAAACCTTTCTCAGTGTCTTATTACCCCTGTCTTCCCTGGGTTTGGGTTTCAGCTTTCTGAGAACAGCTGAAAAATATCAGTGAAAGATCAGGCATGCATGCATCTTCTCCATTTTACATTCTTCTGGAGTGAGCTTCACTAGAATAGCCCTCCTACCCTCTCTCTTACCTGATTAGTGAGTTTGGAAGAAAGAACGGGGCTTGCATAGCTCTGCTCCTCCGTCTCTTAGAATCTTGTTGTCCATAACAAGATTATGTTCCACTCTTCTATCTACCATGAGGGGTCTGACCCCATAGGAAAAATGGCCCTATGCTGCTTCTGCCCAGATGAGAAATCTGATTTAGTCCTGATGTCCTGTAATAGGAATCCCATTCCAACAAAGCATTAGCCACATTCTTCAATATCTGTTTTGTTGGTAATAAAGGTAATAATTGGTTCTTCATTTGCTCATTCTTTTGTCTTATTTTTTAACTGGCTTAGAACCTGGTCAGGAAAAAGAGTGGATTATGTACTGACCCCTGTAGGCCCCAGGAGCTATATTTGTAGAAAAAGAATTTGCTCTGTGTCTGCCTGGCATGGGGATAGAGCAAAGGAGTCAAAGTCCCAGCGGAATGTATTCCCTCGATGAACTGTATAAACCCTCTTCCTCCAAGACTTGATCACAGGGGCCTGCTCAGAAGCAGGAGGATAAATGAGAAGACTTCTTTGGTAGTGGTGGTGGAGGAGTGGAGTGGAGCCCACTTAAGCAACATAAATACTCTTGGGCAGACCTAAATCAAGAAACCCAACCGAATGGATAAAGGAGAAGCCAAGACTACCCAGTGTTCTTTATACCCATTGCTGAACATCTGGAAGATCACCATCCACACCCAGTTTCCCTCTACCCTTAGGTCTTGATTTATTCTGTGACTCCATGAATGAAAGCCAAACACTGGAATGTGAGATACAGTGCAATTTATTGAGAAAAGAAAGTGCAGCATAATCATCACCAGAGGATCCACAGCTCAGGGAACTAAAGCAACAGAGGTCAGAATATGCTCCCCAGATGTGGAGAGGGCACCCTGGGAATCAACAGTCTGGAAACCTTGACCATCCAAGCCTCTAGCACTGGCTCCGGATCACTGCCCTCCTCGGGCAGGGCTGAAACACACCAGCTCAGATCATACACTCCCCAGTGAGAGAGGGAGATGGGCCAGAGTGGGAACAGGCCAGTCTGGGAAGGTGCACATTGGTTTGAGCTCAGGTGTTGCTGTCCAAAGTCAGGAGCCATCACAAGGGCACATCTAGGGGCATCATCATCCCAGACTAGCAACTAGACCTCCCTGGTCTGGAAGACATCTTGGGGATGGAGCAGCAAGGAAGAAGTTCAGCGCCTTCTCTAGGGAACTGGAGGAAAAGCAAAGTTGAAGCTGGCGTCCGTTGATGCCAAGCAGAGAGTGGGAAGTGCTGTTGCAGGATGAGAGGGAAGCAGGCGAGCATGGAGATTTGGCCCTGGAAAATCACTTGGAGCTGTGCTGGCTCGAGCTGGTGGTCTGGGAGAAGCGGATATTGGCGTTGCCTCCACTGCCAGACTTGTAGCCACTGCCTCCAAAGGACTGGATGCCGCCAGAGTTGGAGCCAGTTCCACTCTGGCTCACAGAACTACTGCTTCCACTGACAAGCCTGCTCCCACTGCTGCCACTCTGGTAGCCCCCAGTGCTGCCACCGCTCACACTACCATAGCTACTGCTGTCACCGCTTATGCCTCTGTTGCCACCACTGCTGCCTCTGCTGGTGCTGGTGCTGCTGCTGCCTCTGTAGCCACCACTGCTGTCTCTGCTGATGCTGGTGCTGCCGCTGCCTCTGTAGCCACCACTGCTGCTGCCACTGAACCCTCCTCCACGGCTTCCACCAGAGCTGCTGCTTGAGCTGGTGACATTGCTGACCACCGCTACAGGAGAACAGGAACTCTATTCAGGCTGACGGCCTAGGTCTACATCCCAGTCCCACCCTGCTTGGCTGTGTGACTTAGAGAAAGAGACCCAACTTTTCTGAGTCCACGGTTGGTAAACAAGAGTGAGCCTGGCACTCTGGTACCCTTTTTGAAGAACAAGAGCCAGTAGTATCCACAGAAATTTCTGGTTCTCCAATCTAGGGAACTCTCTAAGACCATAGGGGCTTTAGCTTTGGCCTGAGAGTTTGCCAGCTTACACCAGGGACAGAGAGGGTGCGGCCATGGCCTGAAAGCCTAAATACCATTTCATGGTTTGGCCCCCTTGCATTGGTCAAGCTCTCTTTCCCAAAGGTCAGTCAGGGAGAATGTTTCTAGTTCCAATTTTTACAACCCAGGGGGAAGGTTTTTGAAGGGCTACTTACAAATGCACACAGCACTCTGACATTCTCCAGACATTCTAAAAAAGAAAAGAGAGATGTATTATTTCTTCAATGAGTTATTAGCTGAAGAGCTGAGGGTCTATAACTTTGGGAGCCACATTCTCCCATTTGCCTAACAAGAGGTCAAGTTCTCAGAGGAATAAAGGCTATTCCAACTCTGTTTCCTTGACCAGATCTCCCCAGAAAAGGGGGATGCTTCAAAAGGATGAGATGTCCAGAAGCTACCTACCACACTCCATCTCTCATCTTCTTGCCCTTAGTTCTCAAGATTATCTGTTGCAGGCAAATCCCACTTGATTAGCCCTCATCCTCACCTCTCCTCCTCTGCTGAGACGGACTTCCCACCTTAGCATGCCCTTCCCCTCCTCCTCCACCCAGCCCTGCCTTTTTTATTTCTGACTTCTCTCTTCCAGCAAGCCTTCCCCAGTGAGCCCTCCTGGGATAGTGTTAGCGGTGGTGGTGGTGATGATTGTTCAAGGTGGGTAAAATGTGAAAGGAGCTGACACGTAATACGTGATGAATTTGAAAATGTCCTGCCCACACTGCCCATCTTCCTAGGCCTCGTTCTTGTCCATGGAACAGGAATGTTCACATATCTGAGCAGACATGGAATGTGTCTGCACATCTTACCAGTGTGGGCACCAGGTGTCAATCACTCCCTCCTCATCCCGCAACTCCCAAGACACATCGCACCATCTTCATTCTCACTCCTTTTCATAGAAACTCATAAGAAATCTCTACATTTTTTTCTCACACTTTAGTTCTGCTCCCTCCATCAGATTGGGAGCTGCATAAAGACAGGAGCTATGAACATGGTCAGCATGGAGCAGCAAGTCAGCAGAAAGAGCTCCCGATTCTCGACACACCTTTGGCATTTGATATCCATTCACTAACCCCTTACCTGCCGTTTGATGTTATGTTATTTTTCCAGAGTATGTATCAGCTGTCTCACTATATGGACTCAGGCTTGGGTAGGTGATTGAAGAACTATCTATACTAAGCTGTCTAATGTGATAACCACTAGCCACATGAAGCTTTTTAAATTTATTAAAATTAAATTAAATGTAAAACTCAGTTCTTCAGTTGCACTTGCCACATTTCAAGTTCTCAAGTGGCTAATGGCTATTGTATTGGACAGCACAGATCTAGTACGTTTTTGTCATCTCAGAAAGTTCCAGTGAACAGTACTATAATTTTTGTCACAACCACAAAGCACTTTTTCTTATACATGGCACGTGGTAAGGCTCAACAGATGTACATAATACAATATTGATGTTCATGGTAAATTGGAGTGTTGGTTTATCTCAATTGACAAAAACAATGGGACTTGAATCCTGAATGCTGTCATTCAGGAGATTCTTTGCGCTTTGTCTAAATTGTCCTCTTCTTATCATTTTGCCCTCTTTCTTCATTACCAAAGTTTAGTCTAAAATTATATCCAGAGAATGCTGACCCTATGGCCCCTCACCTGCACTCCTCGCCCTCCAGCAGCTTGCGGTAGGTGGCGATCTCGATGTCCAGGGCCAGCTTGACATTCATCAGCTCCTGGTAGTCACGCAGCAGCCGGGCCAGATCATCCTTGGCCTTCTGTAGGGCAGCCTTCAAGCCTTCGAGCTTGGCATTGGCGTCCTTGAGGGCCACCTCCCCACGCTGCTCAGCTTCAGCAATGGATGCCTGAAGGTTGGCATTCTGGGGCCGGGGGAGGTAAGAAACCGATTAGCATTACAACCAGGAAATAAACAGCTGATCTTTCCAGAGAGGAGATCTCTTCTCCATCCAGCATCCCTCCCTTCCCTTTCTTAGAAATCCAATAGAGCATGCTTAGAAAAACAGAAGTTAGTTTTGCCAGTGGTTCATTCATTGTTGGTCCATTGAAATTAACGTATGTCTCATCAAGAAAAGGAACACTAATTTGCTGGTAAAGGTAGTAGTGATCTGTAAGTGGTTCTTTTTTGTAAGACTGTTTAAAAACTCTCTTTCCTAATCACTTCATTCCAGTGATACAACGTAGCCATTAAGGTTATGTGAAATATGTGACTAATAGCTCACCCAGGGCAGATCCTACTGAGAGCTGAGTGTTTAAGGCCACCCCTACCTATAGTTGCAAGATTTGCTAGGCAAACCAGAATAAGTAATCATCTCTCCACAGGGAGACTTCAAGAAGCCCAGTCTCCAGGAGGAATACCTGGGAGAACAAAGTGTCCCAGAGACCGTGCTATCCCACTTGTGACAGACACCATGAAACAACAGAGAAAGCATGAAGCGGAGACACAGCTGTCGCTTCTCCTTCTCCTTAAGGCCTGGAAGACCTCCAGGATCTCTCCATGAAGCCCAGACCCACCTGCTTCTTGATGCTCTCGATCTCAGCCCGCAGCCTCTGGATCATCCTGTTGAGCTCCATGATCTCACTCTTCGTGCTCTTCAGGTCATCCCCATGCCTGCCAGCAGTGTTCTGCAGCTCCCCAAGCTGACGGAAGAGAAACCAATCAACACTGTTTTGCGAAGAGTGGGAACATTCTTGATGAAGGGCAGCAGAACCTAAAACTAGAGTGTGAGAATAGGGTGAGGGCACCCACCTTGGTCTGGTACAGGGCCTCAGCTTCGGCCTTGCTCCTCTGGGCGATCTCCTCATACTGGGCCTTGACCTCAGCAATGATGCTGTCCAAGTCCAGGCAGCGGTTGTTGTCCATGGAGAGGACCACAGACGTGTCACTGACATGACTCTGCATCTGGGACAGCTCCTGTGGGGAACATGGATGGTCACCTTCACTATCTCCTGGCCTCAAGGAATGTTGGGAATTAATGTTGGGAATGTCCTATCAGCAGAGATACCCCAATGATGGAACTAGGAGTGAGATGGAAAAATAAGCTTGCATTTCAGGACTGGCTACAGTCTAAAAGATGCCGGACAGCAAAGCTAAAGGAAAAAGGAAATGCACAAATATAATCAGGTGTCAGCCTGAAAGTATCAGCCGGTGAGCATCCTGTGTGCGTTTCCATGGGACTGCAGCAGGGCGGAGTACTCTAAAGGAGTAGCCATGACACCAGTACAGGAGCAGGAGGGAAGGTGTAGAGCATAATGGGAAAGTAAAGAGGATAGAGAGGGACCCTGGCCCTGTGGACCAGGTCTGTGCAGGCTGGGGGAGCTAAATTAGATTTCCTGGGTAGGGTGGAGCTGAGCTCTGAGGCCCGTCACTGCTCTTGTGAGTGTTCCGCCACTTGACTGTCCCCTAAAGTTGCACTTGAGAAGCATGTTTGGGGAGATGCAGACAGGAAGGCTCTGGAGCTTGACAAACAAAGGAATCACCATCTCATAAAGGGTCCTCAAGAAGTTGAGTTCGTCGGTCAGGGTGTCCACCTTGGCCTGCAGCTCTACCTTGTTCATGTAGGCTGCATCCACGTCCTGGGGGGACAAGGGAGGAGGCAGTCAGAAACCCAAAAGAATGACTCTCTGCTCCCCTGCCACCCACACCTCTTCCTTAAATCTTCATCTCTCCTCTTTGACCGTCCTTCTAATTGTGACTTCTCACCCTCCCTTTTAAAAGAAAGGAAAAGTGTTTTTCTTTCTGTTAATTGCTTTGACCAATCAAATCTCAATGCTGTAATAAACTATAAAACACAGTAGCCAGACATGGAATAAGGATAGAAAAAGCACATTTACCTAATACATGATTTTAGTTATACAGTACCAAAAATCCAACCTCCTAAATAGAAATGAAGGTATTCTTCTCACTGCTTCATCTTTATGATAACTAGTTGAAACAAGTTACAAGTATTTATGAACTGTTATTATTAATAACATCCAGGTTCGTCTGTAGGCTGAAAACCCTGATCAATGCTTTACAAAAAGTTTTTCATTGTTAATTGACATTACTAATCAGTTCATCAGTCACCTTGTAAGATGTCATCCCTACCAGCAATGTACTTACTCAGAGCAGCTGTCCTCATCAAACACCTCATTTCCCTGTATGCAGCATAGGGTCACTGTGCCCAGAGCTGACTCTGCTCTCTCCATGGCGGCAGTGCCCAGAACCTTGACCTGCCTGTCCCAGCTCACTTACCTTCTTGAGTCCCACAAACTCATTCTCCGCCGCAGTGCGTTTGTTGATCTCATCTTCATACCTGAGACAGAAAGAGGCACACATTTAGACAGTGACATTTCAGAAGTAAAAAAAAAAAAGAGAGACTCTCAAGGACTTATACAGAATGTCCCCTCCTCGCTCAGAGACAGGACCTGGGCTCAGAAGTTCCTCACACTCAGTTTAATGCCATCTTGAAATTCTTAATAATTTTTAACAAGGGTCATGCATTTTCACTTTGCACTGAACCCCAAAAAGTATACAGCCAGTTCTGCCTAGAGGCCTTTCAGAGGACAGGCCACTTCCTCACTCTTCTCCCTCTAAGTCTCGATGGCAGGCTGAGGTATGGGCAGTCAGGGTTTGGGGAGGCTCCAAGGAGCCAGACCACTAGCCCGGCTGACAGACATCACAAAGCACACTGTGCAGATGAGAGGCCCAGACAGATATTTGCTCAGAGCCACTGTTTCTGTTTCTCTTTTCATTAATTAGAGTTGCTTTTGTAGAAATTTGGCGTAAGAGTGAACTCATGTCTTCTGAAGGCATCAAGGTTATGAGCTTTGTGCCTGTGAATGACTAAAATCTCCCACCAAGAGTTTGGATTTCAAGAAGGTCGAAGACCAGAATGATTCCAGGAGAAAAGAGGTTTTAGGCAATGGGAATATGAGTTGCCACTGGATTCCCAGAGCCTAGCAAGGAGCCTGCTACCTATGCGTGCCCACAAGATTTGTGCAGTTGAATTGGAATGGGGCCTTTCCAGAGCATGTGTGCCCAGCCCCGGTGGGTCCTGACCTTTGAGGATATCTGGAGCTCCCTCCCACATTGAGAGGTCCTGTTTACCTCTCACAGACCTCAGACGGTGTCCACTACAGCCCCAAACATGCAGGAGGTTGACAAAAGCTGCAGAAATGGGATTGGACTGGGCACACACAGAGTGCTGTACAAAGTGGGGCCTGGACAATCTGTCCGGAATCCCCAGGAGATCTTGGGCACTCAGAGTCCTAGTTGCTGCCCTATACCCACTGATTCAAAAATGAATAGGACTGGAGCACAGGAATGTGCATTTTTGACAAACTTCAAAGGGAATTCTAATGTATAGTAAAGTGTGGAGGTCTCTCCATCCTAAAAGGCTTCAAACTCTGGGAGGCCTTCTTGTTCGTCTGGGCTGATGTAGGAGGGAGCCTACTTGGAGACTGAAAAATACATCTTAATCAGCCACCTAGAAGTCTCAGTCCCCACCTTCTCCCAGCCTTCTGCTTGCTCATGCTTCCCTAGATAAATCTATCCAAGAGTATTGACTGAAGGTGTAGTTGGGAACAGTTAAAATCTCAAATTGGGGCCACGCCTCCCTGCTAATCCCCCAGGAAGTAAAAACTCCTCGGTCAGAGCCCTCACTTCTTTTTGAAGTCTTCTACCAGGCTTTGCATGTTCTTCAGCTCTCCTTCCAGATTCCCTCTCTCCCCCACAGCCGAATCCAGCTGCCTGCGTAGGAAGCTGATGTAGGATTCAAAGAAAGGCTCCAGGTTGTTGGGGCCCGAGCCAGAGCCTGTGGTCTGCTGCTGGAGCAGATTCCACTTGGTTTCCAGGACCTTGTTCTGCTGTTCCAGGAACCGCACCTGGCCAGAAAAGGAAGAAAAGGGGGTCAGCCTCTTGAATTGGGCAGGTGGGGCCACCCATCCCAAAGCGTAGAAATGTGAGACATGAACCCAGTTTTTCAAACTGCAATAACCTCTGGGGGTTTCGTTGTTGTTGTTTTGTTTGTTTGCTTTTTGGAATTTTGGAAGTTTGAGGATTTAGAAAAGGGAGAGCTAGAATATATTAAGTGCTTAGTCTATATCAATTTTTGCATATTCTGTCATTTAATCCTCACGACCACCTGTAAAGGAGGTGTTATTATCTGTATTTTGTAGATAAACTGAGGCTCAAAGAGCTTAATTAAGTGCCCAAAGTGATGTGGCTACTAAGTGACAAAGCTAGGAGTCAAACCACACACTACCCTAGTCTATTGGGATCTTTCAGAATAAAACTAAAGGAGGGCAGCATAAATAAAGTTATTTATCATTGTTTTTTAAGTGAAAACTTGTTCACCTCTGTACAGGCAGTAAAAACAGTCAACGAGATCTAACTTTCGCAATGTTGTTTCAAATTTTCCTTAGCTGTTTCCCCTCTCAGTTACTTGGCTTACAGCTGACTGAGGCTTAACTTGCCATCCCAGGCTCACATTCCAAACCCAGCACACCCTCTCCTGTCCCAGCATGGACCACTCGATTTGATAGCGGCTGAAGCACAGCACCATTCGGAAGGTTAAGTCAGTTGCCACTCATCATTGAGAGGCAGTCCCAAGATGTCTACTAGCGCAAGTTTGTTTACCAGCTAGTTTAGATTATCAAGCAATTGCTTTTCAAGAGCAAATAAACATTAGCTGAAACAATGTTACAACTAATGCCCTATTCTCAAAAAGAGCTAAGAGCATGTTTGGACCCTCGCCTCATTTTCTGACCTCCCATCCCTAGAAGGAAATCTGAACCCAGAATCATTTCCCCATTTCACAGCTGGAAAAACAGGGCCCAAAGACCAAGAGAGGCATGCTCACTATCCTGTAGGAGCCAAGGCAGAACCAGAACAAGAAGCCACACCCCTGTCTCTAAGCCTGGCAGATCACACTGGCATCTCTCTATACCAACCCCCCGAGTGGCCCAAACTCCCCGCAACACCTCTGGGCTTTTTTGTCCTCACCTTGTCGATAAAGGAGGCGAACTTGTTGTTGAGGGTCTTGATCTGCTCCCGCTCCTGGGCCTTGACCTGCCCAATCTGGGGGTCGATCTCCACATTGAGGGGCTGCAGGAGGCTCTGGTTGACAGTCACTTCCTGGATTCCCCCAGGGAAGCCACCAGACCCAAAGCCTCCAGGCCCACCAAAGCCACCTGGCCCTCCAAAGCCACCAACTCCACCAAAGCCACCAGCCCCTCCAAAGCCACCAGCCCCTCCAAAGCCACCTCCTATTCCTCTGCCACCACCAAAGCCACCACCAAAGCCACCTCCATAGCCACCTCCATAGCCACTGCCACAGCTGCTACGCCCTCCCCCAAAACCACCAGCCCGGGAGCCACCAGCCACACTGATGGAGATGCTCTTGTTGCCACCCAGGTTATAGAGACTGCGACTGCCAAAGCCACCTGCTCCGCTCCGGATCCCACAGGCCCCTCCACCTGCTCCCCCAGAGCGGGCCACACAGCTCATCCTGCTGCTGCCGGAGACGATGGCGGAGTGGCCAGAGAAGCCCTGGCTCCCGCCACTGAAGGACTTCTTGCAGACTTGTCTGTTCATGGTGAAAGAGCTTGGGGTTGAGCTAGCAAATCACTTAGCAAGAGCTGAGAAGGATGAAGGCAGAGGATGAGGACAACAGAGGAGACTGGCCTTTATATACCAAGGAGTTTAGCTTGGCAGAAGGAGAGGCCAGCAATTAGCTGAGAGTCATCTTGGGTTTGGTTTGCCTCCCAGGCAATAAGTTATTTCTATGTTCCCAACACACCTCAGAAATAATCCTCTGGACCAAAATGACTTTGCTTTCTTAGCTTAATCACCCAAACTTGCCTTAGTTGACAAAAGACTGGAGCTCTCCTCCCTCCCTTTGTATGATTTCCTCAAGGGTCTTAGGGAACTCAAACAGCACCTGATCCAGCAGGATGACTGGGTTTTAACATCAGGGAATTAGGAGCCACTGATCTCCATGACACAGGGGTGAGGACCAGACAACCTTTTCCAGGTGGGCTGGGTCATTTCCTGCAGTGCCAGTGACTTGTCATCTATGCCCATCTCTTCAGAGAAATATCCAGAGGAGGATTTGGGGTTGGGTGAGGGGAGATGAGAGGTACACTGTCCCCACAGGGTGCACTCGGGCACCACCTCAGCCAAAGACATCCATGTAAGCCAGCCTGCCATTTGAGCTGAAAAATGCTGCCCATGGGAAACAAAATTGAAGATAAAGTGTCTGACCTATGGGAAAAGTGAGGGTCATATATGAAGCAAACAAATATGAGGCTTGAGAAGAAGAAATGGACGTGGGCAAAGAGGAGTCTCTGACCAAGCCCCTCCACCACCATCCTAGACCAACAGCAGGGGATTTATGGATCCAAAAGCAACAGTGGACAGAATGTAGGCATCCTCCAGTTGGCTGATGAAGTCAGCTCAGAGAGCCCATTCATGTTAGGAGAAGAGTATGTGCTGTATCAGATCTGGCAGCCTTAGGATCTCCTATCTCCTTCACCATCTGGTCTGAGTTAAAGACCCCTCTCTGTTTTCCCACCATATCCTGTACTTTTCCCACGATGGCCATGACATAACGTATACGTCTGTATTTTTGTCAGTATCCCTCTAGGCCCTGAGCTCTTTGAAGGAAGGGATTGAATCCTACTCATTCTGAATCTCCAGCTTCTTGCATAGGGTCAGCACAACATAAACATGTGTTAACTTGGCTGATGACCAGTGGCTAAGAATATGAATATCTAGACTCAGGTCCCACCCCAGTCTTATGGAATGAAAATCTTCAGAGGAAAGGTTTGAGAATCTACATTTTTAACAAGCCCTCCATGTAATTCTTAAGACCAGGGAAGTTTGGGAAGCCCTAGTCTAGTATAGACTAAAGGCATCCCAGCTGGGGTGGGGAGTGGGGGGATGAAGGACCCTTGGTGATGAAGTGGGTACACCGATGTGTTACTTCTCTAACATCCAACACCTCAACTGTCTTAAACCCCACGCCAACCCACCTCCACACCCAACCACGGGGCAAGAGACATTTTTCAAATTGTTATCTACATATGGGATTTCACGAGATATGACAGAAGTAGGAGAAAGTGATTCTAGACTCCCCCCAGAAATAGGTGGTTGGTATATCTCCAGAATTCCTGTCAAATTAGCAGCAAGCACTCTGTCTTCCTGGGATGGTTTCCAGACAAGGCAGTCTGGGGCAGAGGATTGGTCTAAAAGACCCCGGAGAACCTCAAATTGAGCAATTTTAAGTGCTCTGCAGCTAATTTTCAGTTCTTTACTCTAGTTTGTCTAGAGCCAGACTACCTGGTTAGAATCCCAGCTCCACCACTCACTAGTTCTTTGATCTTGGACAAGTTATTTATCTTCCATGTGTCTTGATTTCTTCAACTATAAAATGAGGATGATAATAGCAGGTACTTCACAGCGTTGTTGTGAGTATTAAACAAGTTAAATAAATATAAAATGCTCATTACGATGTTTGACACATAGTAAGCACTGCCCATTGAGCAATTGCTAGTACTCTATTTCAGGACATGGAGGAAGGGAATCGCTTATGTTTTGCCTTGGCTGTTCTCAAGAAAACTTTACACCCCTGAGAAACCAAAAAAAAAAAATGCTAGTGGAAGGAAGCTGAGTGTGAGTGGAGAGTAAGAAAATCAAGCTGAGAGAGTAAAGAGTGAGATCTCTGCTGGGATGGATTTGGGCTGGGCAACCTTGGAATGTGATTTAATACATAAGTCTGTGTTCTGATCTGTCAAATCCCTTCCTACCTCGTTGGTTTGTGGTGAGCCTCACAGGATATAATATAAGTGAAAGTCCTTTGAAAATTACAAAATGCCACACAAAAGTAAGGTAATTGTGGTCTAACAGAAAGTTTGTCATCGTGGACTTCAGAAGACCTGGTTTCAAATCCTCATCTACCTCTCGCTGTGTAGCGATCTTGGACAAGGTACTTGACTTCTTCGTGCTTCTTTTTCCTTATTTGTAAAATGAGGATTCCACCCCACTTGCAGGATCGTTTTGATATTTAAATACTGTCCGGTAACAATGTTTGGATTTTTAAATCGACATTATACATTCAGACAATCCATGTAGAAGATTCTTTGTTGGATTTTCTTTGGACATTTATTCTACCCATTAATTGAATGTCAGTCTCTCTTAGTAAGGTCTTTATTCATATTCTCTAAAATTCCTTTAAAAGCAGATCAAATGCCCTCCCTGGGAAGAAAGCTGAGCCAGGCTCGCCTGACGTCCCAGGTGAGAGCCCAAAGCAAACAAGAACAGACATTAGTGCCTCCGATGCCTTCCTTTCCCCTCCCTTGGCTCCAGTGCTGAGGCACCCGTGGCAGCGTCTTCGATGTGGCTCACCTCTGCCACCCTGGCATATGCTGGAGAATAGGGATGGAGAGAGGCAATGAGCAGATCACAAAAGCATGGGTTTGGGTTGGGTTCCTCTAATCCGTGAGTCTGCCAAAGCATCACCTTATTTATCCGGTTGGGGTTGTTTTCTCAGCAGTTGACTGAAGCTACTGGAGATATCCCGAGTTAGCATCCTTGGCAACATTTTTGTTATTCACTGCAGGATCGTTTAGAGCAGTGGCACCTAAATGGGCTGCCTGGTGCCAACGGTCTGAGTTCTAGTCATTTGCCTGCCAGAACATTCTGTACGAAGGTTGCCAAGTGGCTGAGCACTCTGGATCCTTATTTCTGCACGTATAAAATAGGGGGAATTGTCATCGAGCAGAGTTATTCCCTCTAGTGAAATTATTATCTGGCATTCATTGAAGTGAGAATGCTTAAGAGTGGCCTTTGATAGAATTGTGAGTGGAGGAATCATGAGACAGTAGTCATTACCAAGTCAAAGTGAGCAGACCTACCTTCGTACCAGGAGCTGAGGATGAGGGGTGATAGTTATATGCCCCTTCATGTGTGTGGATTCACAGATACAGTTTTGAAGATCATCAACTTGTTCCTCCCCCCGCCACAAAAAAACAAAAAACGAAAAAAAATTGAACAGCGATTCAGGATATGCTACCCCTGGACCGATCATTGCCATTGTTTTCTCCTTTTTAGCATGTTAAAAAAAATTTATCACTACTGAAATAACTTTATTTAATGAATGAAGAGTAAAACTATATTACCATATAGAGCTAGCTAGCTCCCTTTATAGCTAAAGCTTGATAAAAAAGTAAACATCTAAATATAGCTAAATCTCTTAGTAAATCCTTTAGTAACTAAAGGATTTAGCTGTTAGGAAAGACAGTTTATTTTAATTCTGGACTTATCTCCAGACTTAATTAAAATACTCTTCGACTCACCCCTTTAATCCTTATCTGGTACTAGAATATCTCCCAGGGGGGTGGCTAGGGCAGAATTTCATCTCCTCAGATAACTGATAAAAAAAAGTTCTGGGGTCAAATAAATTTGGGAAATGAAAATTCTATAGCTTTCTCTTAGGGTTTTAATAAAGTTCATTTACATATTAAAAGCCCTGAGAAATCCTATAGAAAAGAAGGATTTACTTTTACTTAATTAGAGCTTCCCAAACAAACTTAAAAACAAAACTTTTCTCTCTTAACCCTTGTTAAATGCTGTTGAATATAGAGAAACACTAGTTCAACTACGCATCCAAAATAGAAAAGAATATGTAAATAGGGCAGTCAGGGGGTTAAGGCATATAATGTCAAGGAGATTTGCCTCATCCCTGGAGAGAAAACACTTGCTCAAAGTGAGACAGAGAAAGCTGAGAGCATTCTTAGTGCAGGGCGATGAAGCAGGAGAAGCTCTCTGGGATGTTGGAAAATAGAGAAGATCCCTGGAGACCAAATTCTCCTGTCAATGTATATTTCTCACCAGCCACGAATCCAAAAGCTATTACTCTTTCCTTAGAAAGCACCATGGGAAAGGGGCCTTATTCTTTTTCATTGGCATGCTCGATTTTCTGGAGTTCAAATGACACCACCTCCTCCTTCTCTTTGCAGCTTGGAGGAGTGGAAAACATGGAGGCCTTGGAGTTAAGCAAGTTGTTATACCCTCAGACTTCAGTTTTCTGGTCTGTAAATTGGAGAAGCATAGCTTCTGATCAGGTTGCAGTGAAGACTACAGGAGGTAGTATTAGAAAGCCCTCATATAAGGCAGTACTCAGAATTTGGCAGCCCTTATGATGATGATGAGGAAGAGGAGGAGGAGGAGGAGGAGGAGGAGGATGTAAGAAGCCTTCCAGGAAGTTATCAATTTGGAGGCTGAAGAAGAGGGTGGAGTTCTAAGGATAGCCCAGTTTAGGGTCAGTGAAGCATTGAAGTCTGATTTTTGCGTAAAATTGCAAGGAATCTGCATATGAATTGTAAGTTACATAAAAGCCATTCTGCTGTTTCCCACTCTGGGGTTCATCAGTAATGCAATCCATCAATCAACAAATATTTATTGAGCTGTTACATATTTCCCAAAATTATGAGGACTATGATTTAGTGAAAATAATGTTTTTTTCCAAGTCTTTACTCCTATCACCTGTCTATGAAAAAAATATAAAAATGACTGAGGTTGATTGAGTGCCTGCCATATACCAAGTAGTGAATCA